ACGTATGTATAGGACGTCTTTCAGGTCCGCTAATATATACCTACTTAAGTACATTATATGAAGGAACAACGTCGAAAACTTAAATAAAGTTTATTATAGATTAATTTATATTCATACATTTACAAGCCCTTTTATATATTTATTACCCGAACGCCCCTTCATCCAAAAAAATCTCAAATAACTTTCAATCAATCCTTAATTTTAATGAGATTTGGATTCTTAATTTGAAACAACTTGATAACCATACATACTATACATGATATACCTACTGGCGATCATTGTATAAAATGTTTGTAGATATAATTTGACTACATGGAAAGCCTCATTTTAATTGTTTTTTGTTTTAGATACAAACTAATAGCTCAATTATAAAATTATCCTAAAGAACTCACTAATTCAAACAATGAGCCGCCGTGACCACCCAGTTCACGTCGACAATGGCCCCAGCACACCAAAGCCTTCCGTTTATTATAACCGCCGCCATGTAGGGATAGTTTAGGGTGTCTGTGATATTCTGCCTTTTAAACTTTAAGTGGGACTCGTCGTACTGATTGGGGTGATCGTTGCGAATTCTAAGGGCTTGCTTGTGGCTTTTGTGAGAACGCCGGCCATCCATTTCGGGGTTTATCGCAATGTCGAATTTTACTGTAGAAGAAAGTTAACCTTTAAGGAATTCTCAGGAAAATTAATGACGTATTTTTTGCCTACGTATCTTCCATTAGCTTCGAGGGGCTATTCTGGTAGCTGGAAGGCGAACTCACGAGGCTTAGTCTGAGATAGTATGTCTAACATCTGCCGTGGCAAAAGCAATGTTTCTTTTTGTTTTCTACCTATGCTGATAGACTTGAGAGGCTATTGCTTCTCCTTGACGTGTAGGTGAGCTCACGGAGCTCCGGGAGTGTTACTTACACTGGCCCTAGCAAGAGCAGTGCTTCGCAGAATCTACCACCGGATCGGAAACGCGATCCACTTAGAAGATCCGGCGAGAAACTCAGTGGGCTGTGTCTATGGGTTAATTCATTTACTCGTCGAGCCTTTCGTCGCAAGCGACGGGTTCGGCGAGGACGGTGACCGGTGCTTGTGGTACCTAAAAGCACCGCAGTGCTTTGCTGAATCTACCGCCATATCGGAATCGGGACCCACTGAGAAGATCCGGCGATAAATTCAGTGGGCTGCATCTGTGGGTTAAATTGCACGACGAACTCTTCTCTTCTTTGTTGCATTTGATGGGTTCGAAGAGTACGGTAACCGGAGTAAGCTCATTACGGTAGGCAGGTAGGTCGGTAGACATTTCAAGCATTTGAAGCCATATTAATCTCGATAATAGGTTGAGGTAAGTCTTTTAATTGTACGTGTTTAAAGAAATAAGTGTAATTGTAACAGTTTTAATAAATAAAACATTTTTTTTGTTGCATATATCTTTACAATCACGAAGAGATAAACTGGACTTGATTTAGATTTTCCAGGATTAATTAACTACATTTGTTGAACAATACTTTGGCTTCAAAATCATCTTAAGAGACATACGGACTTGATTGAAATACTTACGCATAGAATCTTCGGCTAAAGCTTTGATAATGAATAAGATGACCACATTCAAAACGAATATAAAATTCATTTTTCTGTTTTAACTTTAATAAAAAATACGTAATTGTTGTTCTAAATAAAATAAAAGAAATACGAAAAAAATAAATTTATTTCTTATCGATTTCATGATTTAGGTTCATTTTTATTGTAACACAAAACAATAAAAAAGTATAAGTACTATATGATGTTTACACAAAATGAAAGGTTTTTTTCCTTTATAATAAATAAGATTAGGTACATAAGTGTTTAAAAATCATCTCTTTTGACGAATTCTCTTTTAAATTTAAAAATTAATCCAACCACGAAATGTGGGTCTGAATTCACTTTGAGAAAAAAATAATAAAAATAGTCAAACACAAATCGTTTCTTATTAACGGTAAAATGATAAAGAAACTTTTAAGGGCAATAAGGTTACATTTTACATTTTTTCACAATTCCAAATTAAACATTGATGAGGAATGTTTCTATATGACTGTCGGTCTTATTGACTGTAATAGACTCATTAAAATTAACACTCTGATGCTGTGTTATGGTTTTAGGTACACTTGTTATCATCACCACCACAAAGAAAATACCGCCTTTTCTTTTAGATACTCTGTGCGAAATTATAACCCTACCAAAAATTATAATCCTACCAAAAATGTATTGAAAGGAATTAGAACTAATATATAGTCCAGAAGGGCGCTATGTTCACTATACATGAATGGTTTTGTGCCTTTAATATATAGTCGTGGTGATGAAAAGCGTCGATGAAGGTGAACTTTTGAGATAGTATGATTTTTACTAGTGTCGCGCGAGCGAGACGGCATGCTTTTTATTAGAACCCAACGTTAATAAATGAAAAAAAGGGCCTTTATTTGTTTGCCAATAGATTAAAGATACTAGCGGAAAATATAATGGAAACAACAACAAAAAACAATTGCAAAACAAAATGTCATGGATATTTGTGACTATTATGTTAGGTAATAAATTTGGAATTTGTTTATTATTTGTTAATAAAAAATTGCAAATCGAAGGCGCAAATGACAGAATTTTATTTAAAAAAAAAAAGTGAAGTTAAATCTAATCGGACAGAAATATTTTTGTATTTGACATTTTTTATTTATTATAAATTCTCAGGATGAAATGGCTAAATATCTAACTAATCTCTTTTCCGTACTTTTTGACAGTATATTTCAGCATCACTCAATGATTGATTATAAATTATTCTTACGCGCAAACTAAACAATCAGAATTTAGATGAAAACATTTTTAAAGTCGTTAGTTAGTCGCGTCATTTATAATCAAAGATCACGATTCATTGAATAGTTTTTACATATCGACGCTTGAAAGGCAAACGTGACTAGGCGACAATAGCTGCTTTGCACATAAATGATAGGCAATAACCATATTCGATGCGCAAAAAATATATATTTCTAGGTATATTAAAATCATTTCAATCCTACAGCTAGATTCGTTAAAATATAATTTTGTTTTCAGGTATTTCAACTTTAAATTAGTCTACTGTAAAGTTCACGCATTGTCGCTTAGTCACGTTTGCCTTTCAAGCATCGATATTAATAAAGTATAATTTGACTATACCTACCAAAATAAAATTATCTATCTTAGATCAAAATTTTAAAATCAAAGAGCAATTTTTTTTTTAGAGAAGTAAAAAAATCAACTGTCATTAAGACGTGACAATCACGTGTTTAATTAATTGGAACACATAATACAAAAAAAAAACGTCTCAAGCGCTTTAGTTTCGATTTATGAACCTGATCACACGAATTTGGTATCGTTACAATAACAAATGAGAGCTTTTGTATCTGAATGCATTACACTCAAATTGTATTTATATGGATTCATAAATAGCATTTAATAAAAGCGGACAATTTCTGATGTACCCCAATTTTCGAGACACTAAGTACAGTTGCGTGCATTACTGCACATTAGATTCCATAATGTTGGCATAACGGCATCGACTGGATATCGAACCCGGATAAAATAGTCTGCGTTACTACTACCCACTGAAGCAACGAGGCGATCATAGCTTGCTCAGTACGCAATGTAACGCAATCTCAGCTCAGTTGAACCAATCCGTCAACTACCTTCATTATCGATTGCGGGTTAGCGAAATACGCTATTTTTAAACGGTAAGTACGTATCGATGCTTAGCTTAGTATATTATCTTCCGGTATTGCATGTTACAATGTTATTGTTACAGCTTCTAGAATGAGTTCCCTTAAATTTGTACTACTGTTTTACTGCAGCCAATATTGACTTGTACGACTATTGAACTTTTGTAGCTGTCATACACAGTCAACTACGTTGTAGTCATGGGAGTCCATAGACAACAGAGCGAGAACGGTCGAAGCCTTTACGGTAGGTGACAAGATGGCGGCACCCACTCGCCCGGTCTCGATACTTTTAACAACCAGTGGAAATGTGACTTTTTGGCGGGAACGCGAAAAGCGAAGTTGTGTGATTTGTTTTATTTTGTCTATTTAGTGTTTCTTCAGGTTTAAATGTGTAATAGCCGTAGTTTATTAACTGTTTAATGTCTGTGATAGTGTACAAATGTGGGAAAATGAAACAAAGTCGATGGACGTAGCTTCTCGGGATCCTTCGAAAAAGTCCATTGAAAAAGTCTCACTAAATAACCACCATTTTACTGATATTATTTTTCATCCCATATCACCTCATCTCATTTAATTTCATCCCAGTTGATTAATTTGGGTTTCCTTCGTTTTTTATTATTCAAAACTTTAATAATTAAAACGGCCAATTATAAAAATCTTACTACTTGATGCTGGCTAATGCACAAACCGCGCCGGAGCCAAAAAATAAAGAAGAAGAAGAACCAGTGGAAATGTTTACCGCAAACCAAATAATATCAGGACGTTACTGCGGAACATGGATGTTCCAACACACAAACATACGTACATTCATATATCACATGCTAATAATTTGATGTTTTAAGTAATTTTCTACAATCAAAGATTAGAAAACAACGAGATTTTTTTGTCTAGTTTATGACGTAATTTTTTTTAAAATATGGCGGCCATTTTGTTATTATTGTTTATTTAATATTTTTGCAAGTTCACTTGTATTTGTTTTATATGAATTTTGAGTACAGTAAATTGATTAGTACGTACTTACTGTAACTTGATTTTGAAAGATTTTAATTTCCATCAAATATTAAAGCTTAACAGTGGAAACCGTTAAAAAAGTAAGTTTAAGCTACTTTTACCATAGACTAATAAATTATATTTTCATATGGCAAGGGAGCTATAGTAATCTGTGAAATTTACAGATTAGCCATATTCGATTTGGTGTTAGCTCTCATTTCTTTTAAAGTGCCTTTCTAGACAGTCAAACTACCAATTAAAATATTATTAATAAAATATTGTAGGAAGATTACTATAAAAACATTACGGTGAAGATTATGATTTATTAATTCATTATCACGATTACATTTCAGATGAGTTTTGTTTACCAATCTTTCTGTACAAATTTTCAGAAGTTAACCTGAATTATTAATTCTTAAAAAAGATTGCATCTTTAGTTTGTATGCGAATAAAATTTCAAGGTCTCAATTAAGTACAACATACAACAAAATGATTCTATCGCGTAAAGGACGGATGATAGCTTTCTCTCTTTCTTTCTCGCTTTAAAGAAGTTTCACTTCTGTAACGTTTCCTTTGAAGTTTGCGCTTGTTTATGAACACTAACTTTATGATTGTAGAAAACCACGAAAATTCAAATGCAATATCACAATTCTATGAGCAATTCACAGCCTGCTAGTCTCATCGTTTTCAAGGTCTTTCCTCTTCTCTTTCTGCCTTCCGTCTTCTAGGAGAGCGTAAATCTCATCCACCGATCTGTTCTTGGTCTCCGGTACCCACATGATGGTGTAGAAGGCACCAAAAAAGCAGACACTGGAGAAGATGATGAAAACCCAGTGGATCCCTAGCAGTTTGAGTAGAGGATCGTAGGCCTTCGTTTGAACGAAGTCGCTCAGAGCGTCTACGGAGCTCACAAAGGACGTTACCATACCGCGGTGCTGGAATTAAAAAGGCAATGTATGAAAAACTCACATTTCTTTTAAAAAACTTTCTAGATCTGTCGTACGTTGTCATACTGTGACAAAAATCTTCAAATAATAAAATGGTACAGGTATCGAAGGTTAAGGCGTTAGGCAGTATGTTCGTCTCCCCTTTGTCATAAAAAAACCAAGCTGAGCGTATGATTCACTTTTAAGTTAATTGATATATCTTTATTATGATAAAAAACTGCCACAGCAAGATGGGTGTTGCTCACACGAAAGGACTTTATGCCCAACTCCAATACTGAATACATAGTGTAGGAGTTTTACAAATGGGGAGTGTAAATACGTAAAGCTGAATTATATAGTCTCCACATTGAGACATGAGGTCCATGAACCACTTTTGGGAGCTCTCGGGTGCTTTAGGTTAGAAATGAAAGTGGTATCTTAACGATCCGACCTACCACCAGTAAATCTAATTAAATCTGGAATGAAACCGTGTTAAAGACAAGTTATTTTTGAAAATCTATATGTATCCTTAACATCTTGCTTTTGTACGAATAATTCCGGAGAGCTAAACTCGACGTTGGTGATAATGGAATTTCAAAAAATCGATTACCATATTGAAATAAAAAATATACCAAGACTACATGAGAAATATATGAATTTTACCTGAAATGAGAACAGCTCTGACGTTATGACGTATGGAACCGGTTGGTATCCTGCAGCATCAGCGAAGATGCACAGGCACATGGCCGCTACGGGCAACCAGCCCGGCAGCCATATCGACAGCGAAGTGATGTAGAACCAGAGTCCCAGAGCCAGCATTGACATCCCTGTAGCTAATGCTGTCGATGCTAGTAGCCACTGGAAATTAAAATATTTGTTAAAATGCATTAGCCGAATCGATACATATGTATTTACATATAACAACTTCGCTATTCTTGGCTGTGGGCTTCCGTTACAGAATATCACGAGACATCGATCTTGTCTCAAGATGGATGCGGTATTCAAATGGTGATCTTTACGACCTTCGACAACAAGTAATTTTCTATGCATTTTTTTTCACGGAGAGTGCTCTGAAGAATGATTCGAGACGATTTGGTCATCTTATGAGATCTATGGCTGACTATCCATTTTTATTTTACTAGCATTTCTACGTTCATCTACGGACACGTCCCTTTAAGTTCTTCTTTGTGCCTAACTTGGATTATTTGATACTGCGATTGAAAGCGGATCTTGGTAGCTCAGAGTGCCACGAAGAATAAAAGGTTAGAAGAAAACTTTACGATTTTATTTTAGCACGCTTATATATATTATATTGACCTGTATCTATCTGTCTATATGTTACGGAATATTTCAATTTTATTTTCACCAGAATAAAAATATTCGATAGACTTGAAAATGTTCACACGTATTAGGGACATTAATATTATATAGATGCAATCATACTATTACTGTGATCTAATTTTTTGAACTGCGGTAAATAATATGGGCTACCTATTATTAAACACTGCTGCACACTAGTCGTTGCGCGGTATAAAGCGTAGTTCACGTGAACAAAGCTCCCGAGAGAAAGCTAGTATACAATAATATTAACATATTAACTGACCTTTCGGCCAGTCTGCTCGACGATACAACTAGCAACAATCGAGCCCAGCAGCTGTATGGCTCCGACCAGTATCGTCTGCTTGTTGGGGCTGAGCTTCAAGCTGATCGACTCTGAAGCCTGCTCGAAGATGGACCCCGCATACATGAGGACCACAAGATATCCGCAGGTCTCTTGTGAAAGCATTACGTTGAGGGCAATCCGAAAAGCTTTGAACGTTGTTCTGTCTTGCACTGGAAAGAATGGATTTTTTAAAGCATTATTATTTTGCTCTAATTGGGTAACACAATGTTTATGTTACCAGAGTTTATAGACGATAGCGTGAATGTCGCCCGCAGCTTCAGACACAAGATCCAAGTTTCAATTGTATTAAAAGCAGTCTCTGTATTCAAGCCGGAATGCTTGATGGCTTTATGGCATAAGTAGGCAGGCTGTTTGGCACCCATTCAGACTCTCATTAATCCAACAGTAAGTACACGAAATATTATATTTTACAAGTAAATTGTTTTTTACTATGTTGTTCCTTCATCGTAAATGTCATTCGCCGATGATTCGCCTACGAATTGTTACCTGAGCCTATGGGAACTGAACACTGGCATAGTACCCTCGTGTCTAGTACGGGTGTACTCGGCCGTGGGGTTGTGTGACCATCCAAAGTATAAATATTATGCATATTAAAATAAATCGACATTAATGTTATGTCAATGTTTTTCCTTGCATGACTGTATCTAGAAGATCATTTATAAATTTGCCAGAACAACGGCGATTTTAAATACTTAACTTGTCAAAGGGTCTTGTTTATGAGTTTTTAACCGATAACACAAGAAGCGAGATTCTATGTACAACTATATATTTTTTTAATGTTTGTAAGCAGATCTTTCAAATTTATTTTCAGCTTAGTGGACTTTCTTGAATTACCATATGGTAAGCAAATATGTTAACGTTAGGATCAGATGAATTAGAAACCGCTACAGAACTAGTTTAAATCTAACCGTAGCATTCGTTGCATGAACAGCTATGTTTAAACAGGGAAACATATAATTTGGATCGCGTGTGACGACGAATGAAATAGAGCCCCTGCTCCAAGAAATGTGACTTCGGAGAATTTAAACGCGAATCGTGGTGTTAAGCTAATAGTTATACATAGTACATATAGTATGTTTTTTTTTATTGCTTATTATGGATGGACGAGCTCACAGCCCACCCGGTCTTAGGTGGTTACTGGAGCCCATAGACATCTACAACGTAAATGCGCCACCCACCTTGAGATATAAGTTCTAAGGTCTCAGTATAGTTACAACGGCTGCCCCACCCTTCAAACTGAAACGTATTACTGCTTCACGGCAGAAACAGGCAGCGTGGTGGTACCTACCCGTGCGGACTCACAAGAGGTCCTACCATCAGTAAAAGTATGTATGTCTTTTTTGCATATACAAACAGACGAGCTCATCACTATCTGGTGTAAAAGGACAAATGTAGATTATATACATCGTGAAGTCGTCAAGGGGGGCTAGCTCATAGACAAAGCCCACTGAGTTTCTCGCCGGATCTTCTCAGTGGGCCGCGTTTCCGTACCGGTGGCAGATTCTGCGAAGCACTGCTCTTGCTAGGGCCAGTGTTAGCAACGTATCCAGGTTAGAGGCCCGTGAGCTCATCTACTCGTTCAAGGAATCGTTCGTGAATCTAGTATAACCCCTCGAAGTCACTAGGTCGCAGAAATAGTCGCAACGGATTCAACCTCAGAGAATTTACTAATACTAGTTTGTATAGCTGAATCTACCACCGGATTGGAATTGTGTCACACGGAGAAGATCCGGTGAGAAACTCAGTAGGTTTTTAAAAACCGGTCATCGATCGTAAATATCTTTGTCAGCAGAGATTTTTAAAGTCGTGTTCGTGTTTAGTGATGTCACGATCCGTGTCCTATCTCGTATGTGTTAGTTTCCAAAACAAACGATAATATATCGGAGCTTAATGTGGGACTTGTAACTGTTATTATGATTTAGTTAATTACTTACCTATACTTTTCCAAGTGGCCCTCCTGACACTTCTAGAGTATTCCTCCTCGATCTCCATCAGCTGCACTTCTTCCTCTAAAGTCTTGTCATCAGGACTAGTGTTGCGAAGCCAGGCTAATGCCTTGCGTGCTTCCTGGGGTACAGCATCAGACATGATTATATTTGTGTTTATCCCGAGGTTTGACATTTGATTATGATTCTATAGCTTTAGTTATTAGAGTAGCTCACAGCCTAACTGTTGTTAAGCGATGGAGTCCAAATCAACAGTCCCATTATATGGGACTGTTCCCATATAATGTATCCCCGTATCTCCATCCGCGCAGCGGGTGGGGTATGTGGGAGTTGAACCTCACTAAAAACTCCTGCCGCTTACAGCCGGCGCCCTACCCCGGACCGGGCCGGACCCCAGTCGGAGTTATTGAGACGGCGGGACAGGGTTTACGCAGAGCATATTACATCCATCCCGATATAATGTGCGATAAGGCCAAGAAGCAAAATAATATAATAATAAAAGGTTAACCATTTCGAATTTCTACGGCTTTTAGTAATTAAATAATAAAATACTATGACTTATATAACCGCAATATACTTCGTTTGAATCATCGGTGATTTTACCTGTACTTTCCCCTGCTTAACTAGAAAAACTGGAGTCTCCGGCATCGTCATGAATGCCAGTAAATGAACGACGGGTATCGCAGTGCAGATCCACATGACGGACGCGAAGCTCAGCATGTCTCCCGCCATGTAGACCAAGAGGTAGCCCAGGTTCTGGGACAGGATGAAGAGAGAACCAAGGGCGCCTCGGACGTTGTCTGACGCTATCTAAAAGGATAAATGATAGCATTGCAACATAAACCGAATCTAAGTATAGACTTATACAATAGAATTACAACATAAACCGAATCTAAGTATAGACTTATACAATAGAATTACAACATAAACCGAATCTAAGTATAGACTTATCTAAGTTCACGGTCGAACCAATGTTTTAAAATCTAGTTCCGACTCGTTCACGGTCCAACTGATATTAAATGGGTAATGGAACTTATAAAGTAAAGGAAGTTATTTTTTGCTGTGTCATATTATATAACGGTACTCTCATCTGTGAAGCCGCAATGGATAACGTTCGCGGCAGAAATAGGCGAGATGGAGGTATTTGGTATTAATGGTTAAAAATAAGATTTACGAACAGTTTAATAGGACTTAACTTTCTAAGAGAGCATTTCGAAATACCGATGTGGTCATATAAGTCCAAATACGAATGTTACATCAATCACACAGTTTGATCGAGGTGCGTGCTAATGTAACCAAATTCATAGTCACGACCATGTAGTTTCGTCGTTGTGGTTCGCGTATAATTAATCAATCGATGTTATATGCTTTTAACACATTGACTGCCGTGTAGGTCACCGGTGACCTACGCGGCGCACTGAAGTAATTATGTCGATTTCTGTTACTAAGCGCGTCTGGATTGCCTAGCTTTGCCTTATTTTGTTTGTTTGGTTGGTGACCCACGTGGTAGTTAACGTGTTAGGTTCGATAACTGCACGAAGGATTATCGAAAAGAATGTGTTCTTGGTATGCTTTTACTAACTTGACTTTTATCGATCTATGTATCATTTCAACATAATCTTCAGCAACTTCAAAACTTCCAATTAACTTGAAGATTTGCACGTGTCAAAAACCGGGCAAAAAAGAACACAAGGGCTTTATTAATTTAGCCTAATTGTTTCGTTGTGGTAATCGAGCGTGGACTGTATTTATTGAAGTGAAACTTCTAATGCGACTTCCAACAAGGATGCGTTAAACGTTTAACGCTATCATGGAATACAAAGAGACAGAGCGAGAGTGAATGCGTGGCGCTCGAACTCATGCGCGTAGTATACCTGTTACAGGCCAGCGCGAGCGTTAGCAACGAGTAGCATCCAATATTCTAATGGAAAAAAAATATGTTTGTCTATCTATAATTTAAAATATATATAATATAAATGTTGAAGATGTCGCATTTCTTATACACAGCATTCCCTATTACAAGAGCAATCTAATTTAAGGATGAAAAATGAAAAAAAACCTCAATACTACATACACATCGAAAAAGAAGTTTAACTTCATTCACGTGCACCAAGTTGCACTCGCACCGTTTTATTTGAGATATTTATTGAATCCTTATATTACAATTTAACGACTTCATATAAGAGAATATTATAAAATTCTAGCGTTTCTATTGACGTCTGGATTTCAAAGTGGCTTGGTGTCATGGCGGATTTCGCTCGCTGACATTTTGACGTTCAGAAACTGAACATTAATCTTGTAATATTACGTACATAAATTATACGTGTTTTTTTAGTTGGCACGTACATCAAACAACAATAGAATCGCACCTCGAATGTATTCTCATAGATTTTGACGTGACACGTCTTATAATTCGATGGAGCCGGCTGCACGCACGAAAAAACATGACTCATGCGGCGTTACCTCGCTCTGAGGCGTACATGTTTTCGTCAAGTATGAAGTTCAGTGAAAAGTGAATGTGGTGTCAATTGTTTATAGCAACGATAATTACGATAATTAAAAAATGAAACCATTCCATCAGTATTGTTATGACGTTGTCACGTTTAACTATCGTCAGTAAACCGACTTTACAGACAACCGATTTTTGAGGGGTCTTAGATAATTTGAAGGCAGTGTACCTCTTTCAGGTACAGCGGGGTGACGACGTAACATCCAGCGCAGGCTAACCCTGCAACTGCTCTGGAGGCTATCAACGCCCAAGGCCTCAGTGAGAACAATGTGATACTCCAGCTCATCTGAAAAGATAATCGCAAATCATGTTCTATTAGGATAGGATCTGAAAAGGATGATTTTTATTTTGTTTTATTGCTTAGATGGGTGGACGAGCTCACGGCCCACCTGGTGTTAAGTGGTTACTGGAGCCCACAGACATCTATAACGTAATTGCGCCACCCACCTTGAGATATAAGTTCTAAAGCCTCAAGTATAGTTACAACGGCTGCCCCACCCTTCAAACTGAAACGCATTACTGCTTTTACGGCAGAAATAGGCGGGGTGGTGGTACCTACCCGCGCGGACTCACAACAGGTCCTAACACCAGTGAAATAGTAAATAAAGTAATGTATGTGTAATAGTTTTTTGTATTACACAAACATTGTTCTTGAGGCCTATTGTTAGTCTGTACAGTACGGTACCGCATTCATATTTTTGATTGTCTCGTAGTGCGGTCTGGTATCGAACCTAAGGCTTGGTGCTTATAAAATAAATTTGAGAGTTGAAGAGCGTAAGATGGGCGGTATTCACGCTGTGATATTTTGACCTCCGGTGTTCACTTAATATCAAATGGGAAAACAGCTCGTCTGGCCATCTAAAGCGTAAAATTATATTACACATTTATATTACATTTAGATGATTTGAGAATAAAAAAAAATATAAAGCTACTAAGTGGAATGTGAGATTTAAGAGTTTTGAAGCCTTTTATTTATCTATTCCGTGGCCTAGCCCATTTCAGCCTCGAATCAGTAATGCGTTTCGGTTTGCAAGGTGGGACAGTTGTTTACAAAAAAGAACTGAGTCTTAGAGCTCACGTCTTAAGGTGGGTTTTACGTTGTTTATGTTTATGGTGGCCGGTAAGCACTCAACACTCGGTGGGCCGTGGGCTCGTCTACCAATCTAGGCAACAGCAGAATAAAACGCCAAATATTTCTATGGTTATACATTTTCGTTAGTATTGAAATATTTATTCTGATTTTAGTGTTCTGTCGCTGGCGTCACATTCCCTCTTTTTTAACTTCTACTTTTATGAAATAGTAGATTTTATTATAATTAAATAGACTGTTTTATAAAAAGTAATAACATCCAGTCACGCTTCTCTGTCACAATCGCTGAGTATATGAAACACTGTTGGAACTACGCCACGTGACATGTCATACTTTGATATATTACGACATAGGTAAACGTTTCCCAAATTGGCAACAGCTTTAACGTGCAGGGGGCCAAACGTCATACGAGGTTTCGGCGCCTAGGGGACAAGCGGGGTATGTGGGAACTTGGCGGTGTGCACATGTTGAGAGCAGGCCGAGGGCCCAAGTGTTTTTTCTTTTTTTCTTTTTTTCCTACCTAAGCTGGTAGCCTTGAGAGGCTATTCCAGCGTAACCTTAACTAGTAGGTGAGCTCACGGGGCTCAAGCCTGACGACGTTGCTAACACGAACCCTAGCAAGAGCCGTGCTTCGCAGAATCTACCACCGGATCGGAAACGCGACCCACTGAGAAGATCCGGCGAGAAACTCAGTGGGCTGTGTCTGAGGGTGGCCCAAGTGTGGTTTTAGGGTCCTAACTACCAAACGACTCCCTTGCATTCTCTTACCCGATGTCCAACTGTGCCAAGTTCTTTAATGGTCATGGTGGATGTAGAAACCTAAAGAGAACTGTTTAGATCTCCGAAAACGTGTATTTTATTATTTAAACCATGAATGTACTGACACACTGTCAAACATAATATAACAACGGACAATGTTTTTTCAATCAAGCAAGTAAAACTTACAAACTGAGCACTTAAAATATACATCTATACTAATATATAAATCTACAGTGGTTTTTACGGATGTTCCGTTATAACTACTGAACCATGCATCCGATTGACTTGAAACTTGGTATCCATGTAGAAAATACATGTACTTATTGGATTGGTTAGTATTTATATGAATGTTGGATTCCCTAATAATAATGTTAATTTGAAATGCCCAGCGAAGCGGGCGAGTACGACTAGTTTACTTATATATACAGTACTTACAACAAGCATTAATGACGTAAGCAGCGTTGTAATCTTCCTTCCCCATCGGTCAGCCAAATCCCCAACGAAGACGCCGCAGAATATAGGGGGGAAAAACGTTATAGATGCCATCCAGGAGATTGTCTCGTCTGTTATCACCTCTGGAGCTGGCCCATTCGGAGACTGGAGGATCGGGGTCATAGGTGACTGCCAGCCCATCAGCATGCCAAAGTTCAATACCGGGATTGTGACTGAAAAAATTACCTTAGTTAAGTTTATAATTCTGTTATTATATTACAATTTACAACGTTATATCAAGAGAGATAAGGGTCATTTTGAGCGGTTACCACAGCAAACTGCTGCTTTAATTTTGACTAAGTCTTCTCTAGATATAGAGAATATGTATGGGCGGCATTTATCTTGTAGATGTCTATGGGCTCCGGTAACTACTTAACACCAGGCGGGCCGTGAGATAGTACACCCACCTAATCAATAAAAAAAAAGCCGGTCATCGTACTCGTCGAACCTGTCGCTTGCGACGAAGGGCTCGACGAGCGAATTAACCCATAGACACAGCCCACTGAGTTTCTCGCCGGATCTTCTCAATGGGTCGCGTTTCCGATCCGGTGGTAGATTCTGCGAAGCACTGTTCTTGCTAGAGTCAGTGTTAGCAACTCTCCGGTTTGAGCCCCGTGAGCTCACCTACAAACGTTAGGGTGAAGCTGAAATAGCCTCTCAAGGCTATCAGCATGGGTAAGAAAAAAATAATATTAATAGCTTTTGTATTGAATGAAATTTAGTTAATTTTGTGTTTGCGTATCGTATTGCGGAAAAAATCAAGCCTCAGAACCTTCTCAGTTGTGTAACTACATTTAGAAGTATTATAGTCATGAAGGTATACATCGATAAGAAAAAAAGGTGTCTTTCAACGAAGTGTCTTTGTTGTGTCATCTTGTGTCACATCTTCGATGATATGTTGAAATAATGTTGACAAGGACAATTCTCAATTCATCACCGATCATCAACTCTACAATTTCAGTACCTGTCGATACGCAAAAGTGTAGTTACAAAAAAGTGGCGTCAGCATAGATATAGATAATCATTAGCTTTGTTTCGATCAAACTAAAATTTAAAACTAGAACGGTTCCGTATTGTAAAAGGATGGGCATATCCTCATGTCAAGAGTAGTGTCACTCGACATCGGAACAAGATGGGAATTCCTTTTTTGTACCGATACTAACTTTTTAATTGACCCTTTCATAATTGTAATCCTCTTTCGTTGGAGCTCGTTTTTTATCACTTTATTTTTAAAAGAGTCAACTTTTTTATTGCCCTTTTCGGTAGACGAGCATACGACCCACCTGATGGTGAGTGGTTACCTCGCCCATCGATTTCAGCAATGCCACGAGCAGAGCCAAACTGCTGCCTACCAATAAACATTTCAGGCTTTTACCTGTAATGTAGAGACGGAATGAATCGTGCGCTAATAACCCATGACGTAAATCTTATTGTGAATCAATACTGGCGAACCACAAGGCGTTTGCGACAATTCCGAGAAAACTTGCATATATACGGAAAACAAGCATTTGCACGTCAGTCTAATGAGCAACGGGACCCGCCCGTTAGAAGATCTTACCATTGCCTCAATCGATAAATAAAAGACCAAAGCTTTTGTATAAAACAAACTTGAAACATGCAAAAGGAATCCGCCCGATGGGGGACACATCAAAGGGAAAACAAAATTGTTATTTTTATGTAATTCCGAGCATTTTCATATTTATCTACCTTTTAAACCTTCTCTGGACTTTCACAAATAATTCAAGACCAAAATTAGCCATATCGGTCCAGCCGTTCTGGGGTTTTAGCGAAACTAACGAACAGCAATTCATTTTTATATATACCTAGTCAGGTCATAAATTCTGTCACATGTTTAATGTAAAATAATTGAAACAAGTTTATTCATTATGTAACCATTCATATACCAAAATGAACTTAACAAAACATAGATTCTTATGACACTAAAGTTTATTCAAAATGACCTCCGTGATTTTGAATACAGGCCTTCAATCTGCGCGGCCAGTCGTCTATCGCAGCACGAACGAGGTCCATGTCAATATCGGCGGCTGCCTTAATCAAGGATGTCTTGAGTGACTCCAAATTGGGATGAGGCTTTGAGCACGCCTTTTCCTCCAAGTGTTGCCATATCTTGTAATCTAACGGATTCAAATCTGGACTGGAGGAGGGCCAGTCTTCGTGCCGGATGAAGTCGATTTCACGCGCCGCCAGCCAGTCTTGTGTGCTCTTCGCTCTATGAGCTGGCGCCGAATCTTGTTGGAATACCCAGTGCCTGTTATTGAACATGGTATGAGAAACAGGTTCCACAAGGTTCGTCAGGACTGTATTTTGATACACAACTGCATTCGTTTTTACACCTTTCTCACAAAAATGTACCTCTGTTAAGCCCCAATAAGAAACTCCCAACCATACCATGAGCGAGGATGGAAAATGACCTCGTTGGACACGCGGAATACGGTTGCTCGCTTCTTCACTACTGTGTGCGTACACCTTATCATTTTGTTTGTTGTAGCTCTCTTCTACGGTAAAAATTTTTTCATCCGAAAAAAGAATTTCCCGATATTTTTTTCCCGCGTACCGCTTCAACAAAGCGCGGCATCTCTTCAGTCTCAGGTCCATTAGACGAGCATTCAAACGATGTCCTGTTTTTCTTCGATATGCCCGAAGCCCTAAGTCTTCATTTAACACCCTTTTCACCGTGGTTCTGCTTAACCCCATCTGAAGGGCCAACAGTTTCTGCTTACGTTTGGGATTTCTTTGAATTCGCGCCTTCACAGCTTTTATCACTGCTGGAGTCCTAACAGACCGAGGGCGACCACTTCTTGACCTGTCATCTACACTAGAGTCTTCATTGTATCGTTTGATGGTACGATAAACGAATCTTTTGGTTATATTCAAATTTTTCAGTATGTTAAAAATTTGAATTGGCGCGTAACCGCAACGATGCAACGCAATAACTGCAACACGGTCTTCTTTAAGCGTCCACTCCATATTTAAAAATGAGTAAAATTCTAAATGTATACTATTTTTATTTTCATGAACAATTCGAAATTCGAATTCAATAAACTTTTTTGTGGCCAGCATTCTAAAAGAAAAGTTTTTACTGTGTGACAATACTTATGACCTGACTAGGTATAGATAGACAAAGACAATGCTTACACAGGAATCGTATTATGAGTCGAGTACCAAAATCATCCATCTCGTCAGCACTAAGCTGTTTTTGATAAAAATGCAGCCAGTATTACAGATCCGCAGATGCATCGAGAAACTCTTAGCTTGAGGCTTTTGCATATTAATTTTTTGTGTTGGTAAATCATTACTGTTTCGGCATCTGGAGAAGTGCATTTACGGCATAATGTAAACTGTGTTGTCTATCTATGCCGCATTTTTTTTTTGCTTATGTGGGAGGACGAGCTCACAGCCCACCTGGTGTTAAGTGGTTACTGGAACCCATAGACATCTACAAGTGTAACGTAAATGCGCCACCCACCTTGAGATATAAGTTCTAAGGTCTCAAGTATAGTTACAACGGCTGCCCCACCCTTCAAACCGAAACGCATTACTGCTTCACGGCAGAAATAGGCAGGGTGGTGGTACCTACCCGCGTGGACTCACAAGAGGTCCTACCACCAGTAAAAATGAGCACGAGGTACATGTCTAAAAACAGCTCCGAAACCCTCCTCAATTCGATATTGCGAAACTCAAAATAATATACCTATTGATTTTAAAACGATGAGACCGTATAATCCTAACAATACGGGCTAAATCGCACGCCACAGGTCACAGTTAACTTGGCTCCGACTATTGCATACCAACTTTCACTTTTATATACGTCATCTACATACGTACATAGAGCAAATCGTAGATAGATCACTAGTGTGTGATTTTTTTTTATATTTCTGCAGATGGGCAGATCGGTTCAACACTCACCGGTGTAATGCCTATAGATTTTATAACGTAAATGTCACTGACCCTCCGATATGAGATCGTTTATAAAAAATGTGTCCGTGAAATCGTAACGTCCGAAAATCGGATGTAAAATAATTCGGAGCAAGAACAAGTTTTGTATTTTTCAAATACATAGTTTTAAAATTATTGTTTTGTCAAAAGATAATTTCTTAGTACAAACGTATTAACCGGCCCTGTATTTTTTTATATACATATATCTGTTTGTGTCCGATAAAATATGTAAAATTCACACGTATTAAAAATATTGGACGCGTATTAGAAATTATTTTAATCTATTAAACTATATTCTCACTATTTATTTGTCTGATTGTGATACTCGTGTTCAGAATCACCTACACTATGATCGCGTTCCGATATAACTTCTCTTAATTGAGCATTCTTGAAATTTGGGAGGGTATTCAAAAATTTCAAGCAATTTTTTTTTAGGTATTTTATGACCTGGTAACAAAAACTTTTATGTCATGTCTTATTTTATGTTATATTCTTATTTTTATGAAAAATGATGAGATAGAGAGAGAGAGAGAGAGAGAATACACTTTATTGCACACCAAAACACAATTTACATTCAAAAAAACAATCAAAAAACAGATAAATTTGTACAATAGGCGGTGTACAATAGGAGATAGAGTGAAATGAAATGATACGAAGATGATTAATTTGAGACATTAATCAACTGGAATGAAATTAAATGTAGTGAGGTGAAATGATATGGGATGAAATATAATCTCAGTAAAATGGTGGTCATTTACTGAGATCTTTTCAATGGACTTTTTGGAGGATCCCGAGAAGTTACGTACAGCGGCTTTGTTTCATTTTCCCACATTTGTGCACTTTCACAGATATTAAACATTTAATAAACCACAGTTATTAGACATTTAAACCTGAAGAAACACTAAATAGACAAAAATAAAACAAATCACACAACTTCACTCCTCGCGTTCCCGCCAAAAAGTCCTCAACCATATTATAAAGATTCAAATTTTAAAGTGACCTCATATCGTTGCATTGTCTATGCACGTCGTCTATACGTCGCTCGATCGTTTGTCGATTGTGGCATTAACGGTCCTTGATATTTCAACTATCACGATAGTTCGTATTGTTAAGCAACTATGTCCACGTCCAATGAAATCGTTGTTCATTTGTAATTGGCAAATACTAATCTTTTTTCTCTCTCGAATTTTTAGAATTACTCCCGTAACTACGATAT